GGCGGGCGATGGAACTCGTGCTGCAGTGGCTGCAGACAGCTTCATTGTGCTGCGTCTTAATAACCCCTTAAGCCACCAGGGAGGCCTATTGCAAACTTAATATGAGGCAACAGTATAAGCTAGGGAAGATTTTGAAAATAGAATTTTTCTCCCGAGACTTACAGCACAAAGTATACCTTCCCCAGAAAGAACGGTTCCCTGGCCACAGAAAGCTTCATCAGTAACTAATTCTATTCATTAATCCAAGAATGGTTGTCAGAGAGTAGATCTGGGAATGTGGGTAGGCAATAAGATGTATAGAAATAAGAAGTTACATTTATTGTACGATTCCTGGTGCCTAGAGCTATGCCAAAAGCTGTACTTTTATTTTCTCATTTAATTCTTACCACGGTGTGAAGAACAATTACCTCCTATCTTAAAGAGAAGAAACCTGCATTTGAGTTGTTGCTAATTCACCCAAGAATCACACAGCTAATAAGGAGACAAGACAAGACACAAAAGCCAGACAATCTGACTCTAGCATCCAGAGGTGATATTAAACACTCAAGTTATATAACTAACATTTTGTAATCTAATTAACAGCACACCAAAGCTTTCTAGTAATTTAGCTTCCCAGGAGGCTCTCCTGTAGGGAAAAAAAAAAATGGCTTTTGCCAGAACAGGGAGACTGGTCCACTTTTCAGTTAGTAAAGCAGCAATCTGCTTATCCATCAAGCTCTCTGGATATAGACGACATTCCTAGTTCTGCTGGTGGCCTCACCAGTACCACATGGGAAGCCAACAGCCTTCTGCTGATAATGCCCTTAATTTTGACGTACTGTGAACAGAAAAGATGGTTCATGGGAAAAACTGAATCACTGCGAGTGGTGGTAAATCATTGCAGTTCTTTTTGGTCCGGAGTTGTCCAGCAGGGGACAAACCTGTCCTTATTTTTAATTATCCCAACTGTTTCATAGGTTCTTATCATACTACTTTTCCCTCTCAGCTTGTTTCTGCCCAGCTCAAAACATCCTATCATTTTGTCTTGACTTTCTGTTCAGTGCCCTCTGGAGTCAATTCCATGAAGCAGGATACATCATGCTTTCCTACAAGAAAACCTTTCCCTTTTTTCTGTCCTAGTGGTCCTCAGCACTTTCTCAGCCCCGTGTCAAAACAGCACACTGTTTTCAGAAAGCAGGCCCCAATGTCACCTGGGTCCCATTCCTTGTCCTGTTTTTTTTTTAAAGATTTATTTATTTATGCACACAAGAGCTAGGGTACAGGCCAGAGATGCAGGGGTGAGAGAATTCACCAGAGACAGAGTGGGGAGCAGAACAGGCAGACTGACTGAAACACACTGCTGAGGGGAGCAGCAGGTGAGACGGGAGAGGTCTGCCTTACCACGTGGGTTGCTCCCTGGCCTGGGATTGAACTCATGCTACAGAGGCTGCAGACTGCTTCATAAGTGCATTGCTTAACCCCTTGCGCCACCAGGGAGGCACCCCATTCCTGCCTTTTAAGTGGTGCCTCAAAGGTCATATAGTTGTGAATATAGTTGATACCATGCAAATAGTTATTGTCTTAGTCCATCCAGTCTGTTATAGTAAAATACCACTTACTGGTTAACTTAAAACAACAGAAAGTGGGCCTCCCTGGTGGCGCAAGGGGTTAAGACACAATCTATGAGGATGTCTGCAGTCTTTGCAGCACGAGTTTGAATCCGGCCAGGGAGCTACCCACATGGCGCAGCAGACCTCTCCTGACTCACCTGCTGCTCCCCTCAGCAGTGTATTTCAGTCAATCTGCCTGTTCTGTTCCCCACTCTGTCTCTGGGTGAATCCTTTCACTCCTCCCCTCACGTCTGGCCTGTACCCCAGTTCTTTTATGCATAAATAAATCTTTAGAAAAAAAATAAAGCAACAGAAGTTTATTGCTCACAGTTCTGGAGGCTGGGAAGGCCAACATCAAGGCACCAAGGTTGCATTCTAATGAAGGTCCTCTTCCTGGTTCACAGCTTGTGTTCACATGATGGAAGGGACTAGGGATTGCTCCAAAGTCTCTTTTCAAAATATTTCTGTTTAAGAGGGTTCCATCCTTGGGGGCCTCTCTGGTGGTGCAAGGGTTAAGTAGCAGCACTATGAATCTATCAGCAGCCACTGCAACATGAGTTCGATCCCCCGGCCAGGGAGGCAACCCACACATGGAGGAGTAGACCTCTCCCGTATCGCCTGCTGCTCCCTTCAGCAGTATATTTCAGTAGATCCACCTGTTCTGCTCCCCACTCTGTCTCTAATGAAGCCTCTCAGCTGCTCCCTGCCACCGGCACCTCTGGCCTGTACCCCAGTTCTTATATGCATAAATAAATTTTTTAAAAAAGAGGGTTCCACCTAAGCACCTTTTTTTTTTCTTTAAAGATTTATTTTATTTATTTATACAAGCACTGGGTACAGTCAGAAGTGCGGGAGGGTGAGAGAATTCACCAGAGCCAGAGAGGGGAGCAGAGCAGGCAGAAGGACCGAAGTACACTGCTGAGGGGAGCAGCGGGCGGCAGGAGAGGTCTGCGCGCCATGTGGGACCCTCCTCCGGTGGCCGGGGAGCAGCCAGGGATCGAACCGGCACTGCAGAGGCTGCTGGCAGCTTTGCAACCCAGCGCTCAACCACTGCGCCACCGGGGAGGCTCTGGCCTTTTTTTAATGGCTGAGTCCTAAGGTGTACATAAGAGATAAATGGGATAATTTGATTTCTAAAAAACATTCCGAATACTTCACACAACTGTAGAATAGTAGCTAATTACAGAAGGCAACATCTACCTGAGATTAGCAACCAGGAAACTTGGATCCTGGTGTTAAAAAACCAAATTATCCCTTTTCTTCAGCTTAATGTTGCTGGAGAAAAACCACACGCTGGCCAAAGCAGTTTAAACTCATCATCACTCATTTCAAATGGATACCCAAAGCTGCCAAGGCAGTCCTACCAAGAAAGCTGTAAGCTGGGGCCTCCCTGGTGGCCTAGGGAAGCAGACCTCTCCTGCCTCCCACACCGCTCCCCTCAGCGGTGTATTTCACTAGATCTGTCTGTCATGTTCCCTACTCTGTCTCTGGTGAATCCTCTCAACCCCTGGCACCTTTGGCCTACACCCTACTTCCAGGTTTAAAAAAAAAAAAAAAAAAAAGCTGTAACATGCTTTCCCTTCCCACTGCATTTGCATCCATTTTCACCTTTGTTACTCTATTACAGAGGCAGCATCCTCTTCCCAAACACCGTCAATGCCCTTCATTTTCTTACATTTTCCCATGGATTTCACTCCTATATAGATCAGGCAAGCCTTCTCTCTCCTGTATAATTCCCAATCAAACATACTCTAGAACACTACCATCTTTTAAATGGTAGTGTGGAGTCCCCTCTTCACTCCATATCCTCCCACAGTTACCCCTCATTTTTTTTTTTTTGTAGATCTCCAGCGGCCAGCGGCCGGGAAACGAACCCGCGCTGCAGAAGCTGCGGGCAGCCAGGCAGCCCAGCGCTCAACTGTTGCGCCACCAGGGGAGGCCCTACCTACCCCTAATTTCTTTGCTTCCTTTGCAGTAAAATTTCTCGTATTACCTCGATGTGTTGCCTCCATGTTCTCACTTTCCCGTTCACTCTCCAACCCATTCTAGTCATGTCCACATCTCTGATTTATCAACACAAATCAAGTCAAGGTCAGTGATATTACTCACTGACCTCCAAGGTGACCAATCCAATAGTCCTATTTCTGGTTCAGGTTTACCTCTCAGCAGTAATGGACACAGCTTGACAAGGCCCTTGCTACCGCAAACCTCTTCCCTTGGATTCCACAGTCTCACACTGTGGACTGCCTTCTGTCTCCTGGCTCCTCCCTCTCAGCTCCCTCCATTATCCCATCTCTAAATGCTGGAGTGCTCAGGATTTGGCCTTAGAACTCCACTTTTTCTCCCAGTCAAGAGATCACATACAGATATGTAGTTTAATCAGCTCATGCAGTTTAAAAGCATATTTAGTGGCCAACATCTATCTGGATATTTTGCATTTAAAAAAAAATCCAGATTTCTGATTCCTTAAGGAAAAAAAAAAAAAACTGTCAATACAGGACTAGCGTGCTCACAGTGTAACAATCAGCCGCGTAGCAGAAGCTGTCCCCTTGATGCCTGGGTCTGCTTGCGACCTGTGATATCTAAAGCAAGGAATCTGGGGATACAGATTCCCCTAAGTATTAAAAGCTCCTCTTCCGGAGGCACCTGAACACCTTCCAGTCAGTCCTCCACCAACTTTATCGCAGGTTGGGTAGAATCCGCAGGTGCAGCCCGGGAGGGGGAGGGGCGCCCGCCCGCACAAGTTTGAGTTGCGGAAGGTCTCCACCCACGGAGAACTTAGCAGCTTTCGGGGGGAGAAATGCACTTTAAAATACGGAATGACACCGCACCGAATACAGGAAGTCCTTTCGGCAAAAGACTACTACGGTCGTGCAAGAGCCATCAAGTCTGGTCTTTACGGGCCTCTCCAGGCGGAGGCGGCCTGGGGCTGCCGAGGAGGCCGTCTTCTAGGGCGGAGATCCCCCAAATGTCGCTGCGCAAGGACAGCCCTTCTCGCCGTAGCTCGCGGCCGCCGGATTGTTTCTGAGAAACAGGGACCGGCCGGGCCTCACTCGGTGGCGGGCCGGGCTAGGGCGGAGCCTGGGGCGGGGCACGGCCCCCGAGCCGCCACGGCCCCACGGCCTAGCCCCGCGCGCGCTTCCTCCAGAAGCCCTGCCCCCGCTGTACAGGTTCAGGGCGGGAGACGGCGGCCGCGGAGCCAGGTCGCGCGCGCCAGGATTCCGGGCCGCCCAATAGCCGCGGCCTCCGCCCAGGAAGCCCCACCCAGCGGGAGCCGGACGTCGCGGCGCCCGCGGAGCCCACGCGCGACCCGGCGAGGGCGCGGGAGGGCGCGTGCGGCGTGACGCGACTCGCAGCGCGTCCCGTGACGCCATCGCGCCCGCTTTTGAAAGTTGGCGCCCGGGGCCGCCTCCCATGCTGCCCCGCGCCAACCCCTCCCCTCACCTTTCCTCCCCCGCCCTCCACTCGTCGCCCGGCCGGCCCCCCCACCCGTCCCTTCCCTTATCAGCACCCGCGGCCCCGGCAGCGCCGACGCAGGCGCACTGCACCGCGCCGCCGCCATTTTGTGTCCGAGCCTGTGGAGCGATTAAACCGTGCGCGGAGCTGCTTCTTTGGCGGCAGCGGCGGCGGCGGTAGCCGGTGCGGGTGCGCGGAGCTGGCCGGAGACGCCGGGTGGCCGGAGCGGTGGAGCGGCGGCGGAGCGGGCGCTGCGGGGGGTGTGGCGCGGAGGTAAGGGGGCCCGGGGTGGAGGAGGTTTCTCGGGCCGCCTCTAGGTGTCACGATGGGGCCGCTCCGGTCGGCGCTGGCTGCAGCCCGGCGCCAGCGCCGCCGCCGGGGGGTGTTTGTCTCCCTCTACCGTCCCTGCTGCGGCGCGGCCGCCGCCATTGCCCGTCGCCGCTGCGGCCCGGCCGGCCCCCCCCCCGCCCGCCCGCTAGGCCTCCCTGTTGGCGGCGCGCTAGGCCCGCGGCGGCGGCGGCTCCAGAGGCCCGCGCGCCGGCGACTCCATTTTCCTTCCTTTGTCTCTGCCCTCGAGGCCGGCTCTTGGCCCGGCCGATCGCCCGGCCGCGGCCCGCCCTCTGCCCTCCGCCCCTCCCGCGGCGGGTGGCCGCCGCCGCGAGGCGATCTCTACGCCCCGGCTTCCGCGCCCGCCTGGCGCGGGGGTCCCGGCCCGCGGCGAGCGCGCGCAGCCCGGTCTCCGCGCGGTATGGGCGCCGGGCGCGGCGGACGCCTCTCGGCCGCCCATCCTCCCGCCCGCCGGGGCCCCGGAACCTACCCGGCCGCGCCGCGAGCGTCCGCCGCCGCCCGGCTGCTGGGCGGTCGCTCCCAGTCCGCGCGCCGCTGCCGCTCGTCTCCGTCTCCGCCGAGTGGCGCAGGCGGCGCTGCTGCGGCTGCGAGCACAGGGACCCCAGAGCTGCCGAGAGCTCCCTCTGCAAGGCTGGCTGAGCTGCTCGCGCCTCGACGCCGCCTGAGCGGGCGGGGGGACGCGCGCTCGCCGCCCCCGCCAGGCCCCAGTGCGCCCCCAAACTTGCGCCCGGGCTCCTCGCCGGACCTGACCGGTGCCACCCCCTACCGTGGGCGGCAAAAGGCATGAGTTTCACACCCAGGAGTTTTTCTCCAGCCGTGGTCGGGCTCCGTGCAGTGGTAACAGCCTGACTTCGGGAGCTCAGAGATCTCAAAGGGTTCAAAACTTAATTTCACTCTGATCTCAAGTGACGTGTCAGATCGCTGAATTCGGGATTATGGGCTTGCTAGGGGATTTCGAGCGACCCTTGAGTTTCCCTCCCGCTTCGTAATATCCTCATGCTAACTTACTACAATACTTAATACCTGATGCTCTAGGGCTGGGCAGTTCTGCCCCGGGATTGTGCAACCCGATCTAAAGCGCCAGTAGGGCAGAATGAATTTATTCTTGACTTCACTGGTAATTTGCCCATACGCTGAAATATGAGGGTTGGTGTTGTAATTGAATCCTGGGTGACTAGCTGCGGATGGTTTATAAATATCTACGCCCAATGTAACTACTCTGTAGTAGCAGACTTCCTGTAGCCCCGAGTTCAGCGTCAAGTAAACATTCGAAGACGTAGTTTTCGTGTTTCTTTGAGTTTAGATCGACTAGGAAAGTTAAAATTCCACGTTCCTTGTGGTGGCAAAAGAAGTTAAATCAGGCATGTATTTAAATTTATTCAGTTAAGTCTTCCCGTTTCATTCAAAAACTTCCTGTTGAATTGCCAGTTTTCTCTTTTTGTTTCCTCAAATACTCCAGTACGTTAATACAGTATCTTGCAACAGTTGATTTATCAACTGGGGTAGCTTTGGAGCGAAGTCTTGATTAACTTTCTTTGGGGGGGGAGGGGTGGCTGGAGAAAAGCTACTTTAAGCTTGTGAGGAAATTAAAACAGCCGGGTGCTAGGCTAAACATAGTTGTGCTGTCCACTGTGTGTGATTTCAATCTGTAGGATCTTGCCACAGTCTACTTCCATCCGCCAGTCTTTCAGCACTCCCTTTTTGAACCCCATAAAATGTTCCTTCACCCTCTCCTCCACAATAAAATTGCACTAAGTTACTAAATGTAGTGGTGTTGATAAAATGTCAGTCTTGGGAATAGAACCAACCTCATTGCCCTAATACATTCAGCTGCTTGTATGTTTGCGGGGGGTTTTGGTTTTGGTGGGTTTTGTGTGAGTGTGTGTTCTTGTGATTTTGGCTTTATTTTCCTTTTGAAATTGAGGGTGGCAAGTGGCATGTTTTACTTAGTAAAATAAGCTCCACATGAGTTACAAATTAAAATCCAGCAGGTCTGTGATGGAGCCAGAAGTAAAGTTTGTTTTCTCAGGTTAGCATTATGTGCTCCACAGACTTTATTTTGCTTCTTGATTCAGTTGTACTATATGCAGACATCAGCTTCTTGGTCTTACAGATCACTTACGCTGTTTTATTGGTCTTATAGATCGCTTATGCTGTTTTATTGGTGTAGATCTTGTCCACAGAGATGCTATCCTTTGAGATTTCCTTTGTGCCAGGATTCATATTTTGTTTCTATTGGAAAAGTAAATGTATAGAGAGAATAAACTGAGGATGCAAGATTACCCAAAGGAAATGATTACTTGAATCAGTAGTATTAGGAAGGTTACAACAGGAATGGCTCATACATAAGAAAATCCTGCCTACTTAAGAGTAGTTGTTGGGCTTCCCTGGTGGCACAAGGAGTTAAGCCTCAGCACTATGAAGCTATCCTCAGCTTTTGCAGCAATTCGCTTCCGGCTGGCCAGGGAGCTGACCCATGTGGTGCTGCAGACCTCTGCTGTCTGGCCCTCTGCTCCCCTCAGCAGTGTATTTAAGTCAGTTCGCCTGTTCTCCTCCCCACTCTGTCTTTGGTGAGTCCTCTCATCCCCCACACCGCTGGCCAGTATGCAAGTTCTTGTATACATAAATAAATCTTTTTTAAAAAGTAGTTATTTATATGCCAATCATTTGTATTATAAATTGCTTTTCAGTTAACATTAGGGGGGCCATACAGCCTACATAAGAAAATTTAGAAGTAAAAGTTAACCTTCAGATGCGTTCAGAGCTTGAGGGTTTTGTTTTAAAGGATAGAAGAATGAGGGTACTCACTTATGACTTTAGTGGGTGGCTTGGGGAGTTCCTCAGCCACCTGTGGCTGACTAGGGCCCTGAGGAACATTTCTATGGCAGAACCTTGCACAGTGGTTCCTGCTGGCAGAAAGATTCCCCTAGAGACTTTTTTTGCTTCAGAGATGTTGCTGGCATCTTATCCATTCTGCATCATCTACCTCATAAGCTCTATTTTATTTTTTATTTGGTTATTTTTTTTTTTTTAAATAGAGGCATGTTTTATTTATTAATTTATTTGTTTGTTTGTTTATACATGCACTGGGTACAGTCAGAAGCGCGGGAGGGTGAGAGAATTCACCAGAGGCAGAGCGGGGAGCAGAGCAGGCAGAAGGACCGAAGTCCACTGCTGAGGGGAGCAGCGGGTGGCAGGAGAGGTCTGCGCGCCATGTGGGACCCTCCTCTGGTGGCCGGGGAGCAGCCGGGGATCGAACCTGCGTCGCAGAGGGCGCGGGCAGCTTCGCAACCCAGCGCTCAACCGCTGCGCCACCGGGGAGGCCCTATTTGGTTATTTTTTAAAGATTTATTTTTATTTATGCATGCAAGAACTGGGGTGTAGGCCAGAGGTGCAGGAGGTGAGAGGATTCACCAGAGACAGAGTGGGGAGCAGAACAGGCAGATATACTGAAATACACCGCTGAGGGGGCCAGGGGGGTGAGACAGGAGAGGTCTGCTGTACAGTGTGGGTCAGTTCCCTGGCCAGGGATCGTACTCAGGCTGCAGTAGTGGCTGGCTGCTGGCGATAGCTTGATAGGGCTGGAGACTTTAACCACTGCACCATTAGGGAGGCCCACCGTTTTATTTTTTAAACCAGAACCCTATTTGACAATCTGTCCACCTTATATACCTGTCTTGGTTCCAAATTATTTAAGGCTTGCTTTTTTTTTTTTTTTTGGTGCTAAAAATTAAAAGTTTCTCTTTAAACAACTAAGATGTGTCATAATTTAAGACTTACAGGTTTAGAAAGAACAATAATGATCAGTAATCTAAAACAATAATGATCAGTAATTGAAGACCATGTTCCCTAATTGAATGTGTGGATTTGTCTTACTATCATTTGCTTTTTAAACACCCTGAAGCTTTCTCTAGTTGCTGTCTTCAGGTCTTGCCTGGCATTTTCTCAGTGAGTTAGTATTTGAGTGCAAAGATGTGTCATTGCATATGTAGACTGCCAACATAGTCTACAGTCCCCAAGAATTATTTTTTTTTCCCCCGGGCTTGAGCCTCATTTTTGTTCACCTTTATTATTTTCAGGGACACAACATTCCCTTCTCTTTGAGGTATGCTAGTGACAGTATATGGACTCCAGTATAAAGTGTTTCTTGGATTAAATATCCTAATCATTTGTATTGTTATAAATTTCCTTTCATCAGAGAAAACTTTTCTTTAGCTCCATCTAAGAAAATGTTACATTAGCTTAGTTTTGTGGGCTTTAGGTAATTATGAAATGGATTCCCTCTTTGTTTTACCCCACGTACTAAATTCTTTGAAAACTTAATTCAAATATAGCTGTTTCATTTCACTTGGGAGTTTCTTTTCACTTTTTTTATTTACCTTCCTTTGGAGTCAAGTTTCACTCTTCTGTTGCCTGAAGCTTAACAGTTTATTTATTTGTAATTTAGGGAGAAAATTGTCAGCTAACAAGGTGTTCCATTATCTGACTAAATAAAGTATTTCATTGCTGTGCTTCTAGGGTTCTCAACCATCAGTGAAAGCTTCCCCCCTTATTAAAATGAAAAATATAGTGCTTATTTGCGGTGTTAAACTAACTTAATCAGTGATGTCACTACTTGCTGAAGATAAGGAAATAAACTATTGACAAATTATTTCTATATCTGAGAATTAACTTTTTTGGTAGTTTGTACATTTGCCACATTTGGTTGTAAAATCACAGTGAGGTGCTGTTTTCATAATTACAAATATCAGTCCTTTATTTAGCAAATTTTTAAAAAGCGAATGTCTTATTATTGACTGGCGCGGATATTTATGGAATGTCTCAATTTGTAATGCAGCATTAATAGATACATGTTTTTCTGATGTTACCAGTCTTAAGCTTGTCCTCATTTTGCTTTGTACATATGTGTATATGTAGTGTTCATAAATTGATTTGTGCTTCTATTTTAGAATGATCACAGACGTGGGGCCAGAGAACAAGATGCACTAGTGGGCACATTGTTGACTAGGAGCGTGAGAACTGGGTTCTTTTTTTTCTTCCTCAAACTGACTTTGCAGCCACGGAGAGGTAAATGCTATTTCCATTTCTTGGTTTTAAAAATGGGAATAGGAAAAGCCCTACTAGGGTGTGGGAAGATGTAGTGGATCATTCTTGGGGATGGGGACAGGACCAGGAGCATACAGAGAGGCTTTAGAGAGTCTTGGGTTTGAAACTCTGCATTGCCACATTCCCTGGTGACATTGAGCACCATTATATAACCTTTCTACTCCTACAGCTTTTATTTGTGAGAGAATAGCTCCAATTACAGAGCATTAAGTAGTATTCTGAGCATGTACATGGAAATGGTTGTTGCTTTTCTGTAGAAATCCTTCGAATGTACATATTTTCACTTATTGGCAGGTCACCTTAAAAGTCCATTGTCTGAGGCATTTTGTAATTTTGATAAGGGATAGAATGAATCCTGTTCTTGAGGAAGCTGGTATCCTGGATTAAAATTTACTTCATTAGTGAGTTAGCCTAGCAGATGACACATGTTTGCATGAGAGAGTGAGACACTTAAGTTTTACTTTAGCCTATAGTATCTGTCATAAAATATTATGGACATCTTAGAGAACTTGAAGCAGGCCTCATAAATGTCAGAGTCCGTTAGATTTTGGAATTTCATAAACAAAGAAGGATTCTAGGTATGAAAATTCACTCTTTTTGGGGTACCAAAAACAGCTTTCTTATCCTTTAGAAAAAAGTGAAAGTAATTTAATTGCACTTGAGTAAAGGTGGGAGTGTAGAGGTGGGAATTACAAATGCTGAGATTAAATAAGTTTAATGAATGAATCACCTAAGTGACTACTAAGATTTTTCTTACAACCTGTGCCTGGTTCACTAGTATTCCTAGTAGTGAAAACTCTATTGTTCTCCAAATCTGTGGGCTGTTTGGCACCTCCGTTGATGGAAAGGACATGGTCTATGTGCTAGTATTCTGTAGCTGCAGTAATACTCGTGCCCTGCAGGTTCTTGTAGGAGCGTTGATACAGAGTGCATACTAATGAGCTGCTGAAAAGAAAAATAGTACTGATTTGAAGAGCTATTGAAAAAACTAGCCTTAAGAGTTTGGGAATGGGATTGTAGGAACATGTTGGTCGCTTTTTAAGTGTTATGGCTAGTTTAATTATTTAGATCCCTGTTTCTCAAACTGGGATATGAATACCCTTAGGGTACAAAGTGCTATGATCCTGGGGTACTTGAAGCCACAAGATAAACATGACCCATCTTCTTGGAGCTTCAGTTGTGCTCATTGAGGGGGCCGTAAGTTAAGTAATTTAACTGGTAAGTAATTTAAAATTTTTTACCTTAAAACAAATACATATTGTCAGAATGTGAACACTGTACACAGTCCAAGGTAACACAGGTCTTCAACAAAATGGGGTGTGATTTCCTGGGGTTGGAAGCACTCTGTATAGTTACTACACTGGCGTATTTGATAAGCTAGATAGATTGTATCACATGGTGCTCTTTGCTTATATGCCTGTTCCTCTGCATGCCTGGCATGCACAGAGCTCTACAGATTGTAGGCAGATCTGAATGACTGAATCAAAGCAAAAATATTGTCATCAATTCCATTCCAATGATTTAAGAATTATAATTTAAAAGAAGCAGCAGTGGATAATACCAGATCTAAAACTAAATTCTATAAAACAGATTATCACAAATATCACATTAACTCAAGCATAATTAACAGTTAATTTTAACAATTTATATTGATTTTGCTCCCCCCATTCAAGTTACGTATGAGAGTAGTAATAAAACTTGCCAAATCCCAAACGAGAGGCCTTGTGATTCCTAAGATCATTCTTCGAAGCAACTATTCTTAATAATTTTGTGTTTGATGATTAAAATACTATTGCTAGTGTATTGCTTTTAGTAAACGTGGCACTTTCGATTTATGTTTTCTATATTGATAATTCATGCCTTTTGAATATGGGTTTTACATTTGAACCTAATTGGGTCGGAATAGACTAAAATGTGATGTTCTCTGATGTGACGTGAGTTGGATCAACCCAAATGTTTTAGATGAGCTCTAAATATCCGGTATTTATTGAAGTCTTGTAATGTGCTCATTAAATGCTTTGAACACTTGCCTTTCTACTTTGTGCTAAGTACTGCATTAGGTACTGAGGGTTCTAAGATGAATAGGAAAAGATTCTTTTCCTGAGGATCCTGAGTTTAGAGCAAGAGGTCTATAGTAAGTGTTGTTGGTGCTCTCAAGGGTGCAGGGAAAGACAATCACAGGAGTTGGTGAAAGATGTTGGGAAAGTCAAATGCTTATAAGATTTTTTTTTAAACATGGTACAAAAATGTAAATTATGGAGTAACAGTAAAGGAAAAACCTAGCATATAGCAAGAACTCAGTAATTTTTTTTTTTTTAAAGATTTGTTTTTATTTATTTATACAAGCACTGGGTACAGTCAGAAGCGCGGGAGGGTGAGAAAATTCACCAGAGCCAGAGCGGGGAGCAGAGCAGGCAGAAGGACCGAAGCACACTGCTGAGGGGAGCAGCGGGCGGCAGGAGAGGTCTGTGCGCCATGTGGGACCCTCCTCCGGTGGCCGGGGAGCAGCCAGGGATCGAACCGGCGCTGCAGAGGCTGCTGGCAGCTTCGCAACCCAGCGCTCAACCGCTGCACCACCGGGGAGGCCCTCAGTAATTTTTTTTAAAAGATTTATCTATTTTTAGCTATACAATAGCTGGGGTACAGGCCAGAGGCGCGGGAGAGTGGGAGGATTCACCACAGACAGAGCGGGGAACAGAACAGGCAGGCTGACTGAAACACACTGCTGCGGGGAGCAGTGGGGAGACAGGAGAGGTCTTCTGCGCTAAGTGGGAATCTCCCTGGCCAGCCAGGAATCGAACCCGCGCTGAACAGGCTGCAGACAGCCTCATAGCGCTGTGCTCAACCTGCTGCGCCACCGGGAAGGCCCTCAGTAAGTAATTTTTTGAGTGAATGTTTTGGGGAAAAAATGACTATAAACAGACCTCTAAACACTTCCAAACAAAATTTAAAACTAGTAGTAGTAGTAACGTTAGGTTTTGAATAACCTTCTAGTTCAGACAAGTTATTTTAAAATGCAGGTAGATCCCCCCACTTTTTAATTTGATAAACCAGAATTACCAAATTAGGGAATAACAATATTTAACAATAGGAGTTCGGTTAAATTATGATACATCTATATAAGAGTGTCATCCAGCTGTTAAATTACATGCAGAAATATATTGAAATGGAAAAATATTTGAGACATACTGCATATAGATTATCTAATAGTATGTACAGTATGATGTCGTGTGTGGGGTTGTGTAGTTTAATAGTTATATGGCCTTTGGCAAGCCCTTTAGGAGTTGACTGTAGGTACATATATAGGGAGGTAGCTGTGAATATAAACAAGAATGTTTAGGTAAAAGTTAAAGGGTTGTATTCTTACGTAAGTTTTTTCTTATTTATGTTGTATAACTTTATATGTTTTTTAAAGATTTATTTATGCATACAAGAACTGGGGTACAGGCCAGAGGTGCAGGGGGTGAGAGGACTCACCAGAGACAGGGTGGGAACAGAACAGGCAGATTGACTGAAGTACACTGCTGAGGGGAGCAGCGGGTGAGACGGGAGAGGTCTGCTGCGCCATGTGGTTAGCTCCCTAGCTGGGGATCGGACTCAAGCTGCAGAGACTGCGGATAGCTTCACAGTGCTGTGCTTAACCCCTTGCGCCACTAGAGAGGCCCTTTATAATAATTTTTTTTAATTAATTTATTTATACAAGCACTGGGTACAGTCAGAAGCGCGGGAGGGTGAGAGAATTCACCAGAGCCAGAGCAGAAAACAGAACAGGCAGATGGGCCAAAATACAATGCTGAGGGGAGCAGCGGGCGTGGCAGGAGAGGTCTATGCGCCCTGTGGGACCCTTGCCAGCTGCCCGCTGGGGATCAAACCGGTGCTGCAGGGGCTGCAGCTTCGCAGCCCAGCGCTCAACCGCTGCGCCACCAGGGGAGGCCCCCTTTATAATAATTTTTAAAAGGGAAAAAGGAATCCAGTTCAGTAGGAAGTAGTACTAAAGGTTTCTAATAAATGCAGTTAAATAATAATAGCAGTTTTCGCCCAGCTTATTCTGGCAATATGTTGGACTTCTTGAGATTTGAGGGCCTTGCTAGAATACTCTTGTACAAGTGCAGGCACAGGAAGGGTACTGGAAGCCATATATCTATCCAAATGTTACAGGAACCTGAGGCTGCAGAGATAGTTCTTGAAACCTTCCTCACTTAAATTTGATCTTCAGAATTTTTTGTATCTTTCAAGTAATGCTTAGTTTCATTCTTTGGAAGAATGAAATACTAGAACTTAGAGAATTCTTTCACTCTCTTTCCCCAGAAGTAAGCACTATTAACAGTTTGGTGAGTTCCTTTATAGTTTTTTTTTTTTCCCTGTGCTTTTTCATAAATGGCTATGTACATATAATACAATTTAAATTGAGATGGCATTGCTCTGTAACACTGTATATGATTTAGGGGATTAGCTTCACACTTCTTCAGATGTATGTCACCACAGCCACCACCAAAATACCCAAATTTATATAATATAATATAATCTTTATTCATTCATTTATTTATTTATTTATTTTTTAAATAGAGGCATGTTTTATTTATTTGTTTGTTTGTTTGTTTGTTTGTTTTGTTTATACATGCACTGGGTACAGTCAGAGGCATGGGAGGGTGAGAGAATTCACCAGAGCCAGAGCGGGGAGCAGAACAGGCAGAAGGACCGAAGTACACTGCTGAGGGGAGCAGCGGGAGGCAGGAGAGGTCTGCTGCCCTATGTGGGTCAGCTTCCTGACCGGCTGGGGATTAAACTCGTGCTGCAGTGGCTGCAGTGGCTTATTAGCTTGTGTCTTAACCTCTTGTGCCATCAGGGAGGCCCAAGTCTAGTTATTTTTTTTTTAACATGTTTTTAGAACTTCTTGAATATTGATTAGCTAAACCCGATTCAAGATGTGTTATTATTCAAGGACTTGGTGTGAGGTTTAT